GCATAATTATAATAATAAGAATTTTTGTATTTACCACATTGTCAATTAGTAGACTCTTAATTGTTTATTGTACAATACCATATTTATGCACAATAAACTATAAATAAAAACACATTTTTCTGCGTAATTATCTCAATTTGACCAAAATTTGTACTTACCATATCTGTGCACTATGCCATTGATATATATATATATATATACATATATATATATATATATATATATATATATATATATATATATATATATATATATATATATATATATATATATATATACATATACATACATATACATACATATACATACATACATACATACATATATGGGCAATTCCACAGCGGAAAATGAAAAAGTAGTCAAATTTTATTCTCTTTTTTGTCAATTTTTAGCGAATGAAAATTGATGTACACTTGTGGAAGTATATTTAAAATATAGTTTTAGTACTAAAATTAATTTATTTAAGTCATTTTTACGCTTCCAAAAGTTACGGTTTTTTTTCATTGTCGATTAAAAAAGTATCATTGTAAAATGTTATTTTAATGTTATTTCAAAGTAACATTTTACAATGATACTTTTTAAAGTATCATTGTAAAATGTTATTTTAAAATAAATTAAAATGTTATTTTAATTTATTTTAAAATAACTTATTATTGCATAATCAAAATTAATTTAGCGTAAAAACATGAGCCAACATGTTCAAATTCTTGTTGGACAAATTTTATACTTTATAAAATATATATATTTCAAGAAAATAATGAAAAAACTTTGGCAACTTTCATGTAAACTAAGTTGACAAAACATGATAAAGCTTTGTTTTTTCAAAAATTTAGTTAAAAAACTTAAGTTTTTTAATAATATATGCGAAATAATATTATATAAAGAACATACACTGTAAAACCACTGATTTAGGACCCTCCCCCCATTGTATACACCTTTATGCCATAAATGACCCCTATCCAGCCTCTCCATACATGAGCATTAAAAATAAAATGCATAAACTTTTAAAAATATTAAAAACAAAAAAAACTTTAGATATTGCAATATTTCTCTGTTATAAAACGTTATGATTTTTTAAAATTATGAAATTTAAAAAAAAAACAAAGCAAAAAAACAAGTTTAAGGAAAATAGAGAAAGAGAGTTAAACTGCATACATACTAGAAGTCTTTAATCCAAGACCCCCCTGTACACACTCATATGTTTTTGGGTAACCCACCCAACCCCCATACCTGCATACATACTTATTGGAAGACCATTATTTATTGTTTTTTTCTTCTTTTTCTGAAAAAAAAAAAGACTATGAATTTTCTACTAATCAACTAAGAGTCGTTGTAAGTTGAGTAAAAATCATAACTCTTATATCTTTTCACTTTTTGCTTCAATTTTTGATCTTTAGTTTACTCTCCAGGGCCGCTCCAAGCTCCTGGGGTAAAACTTAATTGTGAAGCTCCAAAATCTAAATGTCATCTATACAGTAGCATTGTTAATATAATTGTAATGACTTTTTGATATATAGCCAATGAGTCACAAAATGACTTTTAGTTCAAACACAATCCAATTTTTTTACAGTTTCTTGGTGCGGGTGTCTTTTTTTATGTTGTCATCCATTCTTTTCTGTGCAAAAGTGAATTTTTTGTATTTCTTGAAACTTCTTTAACAAGCATACCGGTTGTTTTGAGACATTAGATAGTGGTTCAAAATTTACTAATAAACAATGTAGTTTTTAGAACAAAGTATTTTATATGCATAAACCACGTACTTATTGCACATTTAATGTTTTAATCCAGTTGTACAGCTAGAGGAGGAAGGAGCCATTCCTTCACGGGTAGGAGTGAACCACAGCTCACTAAATATTATTTTTATTGCCAATATACTATACAAAACGATGACATTTTTTTGTCTCATCAAAACGGCACGAAACGAAAATTATCATTTTCTACTGTGTCAAACCAAACTTCCGAGAGGATTTGAGAAGACGCAGATGTCTTCTTATAACTAAGAAACAACAAACAAAAAGGGATTACTCTTATTAAATATAGTTCTTAAAAATTGATGTTGAAAGGTAATTTCTTATACATATCATATGTTGTAACACAGTATTCTGTACAAAGAAGTTAAAAGGAATGCTTGTTGTTTTAATTAATCAAACATTTTTGAAGATTCTTAGGGTAGTCAGGATGATTATTGATACTTTTGAACCGTTGTCAGTGATGGTTGAAGTCATGATAGAGTGAACCTGTTGCTTGCTCTTAATAGATGTCCAGTGAGTGGTTGTGGTGATCAATAAACTGTTACATGAAAAAAAAAAAGCACCTGCTGCTTAGAAGCCTGTATAATTAGTTTGAATGGAGCCAAATGTTGGGAGTTCACCACTCTGATGAAGATTCTTTGACTTAATGTCACACCAAGTACAAGGGTGAACACTTGAATGAGACTGCAAACTACAAATAATGTTTGCAAGCTTAATGTCATATGACAACACAAAAGGCTATCTCTCAAGACTCAATTTTTCAATGATCTGCTTTACATGGTCATAATTTTCAGAGTGGTTTTCTGCAACAGCCACCAGAAATTGATGCAGTCCTTGAAGAGAGATTTCTTAGTTAGGGAAGAAGCATTTGGTTTTAAGTCAAAAAGCCCTAGAAACACTTTCAGGAACCAACCATCCTCCATCAATTCCCACCTTGATAAGTTCATTTGACTAAGGATCCCTGATCTAAACTAAAAGGTTTTCTAGAGCTTCAACATCTTTGCAGTACACCAATAGACATTTGGATTATTCTCCAATAGACGTTTGGATGACAAACAAGACAGATACTTTCCAAGAGACTCAAATTTTTCCCTGAAGTTTTTTTTCAACTACTCGCTGGGGAGCTACTTTGTTAAGTGCTTGAAAGCCCAGTCTGGTTTTGAACATGTAGAAGTTGTTGAGCAATCAAGGTGTATGTGGCTGCTGGAAAAAGTTCTCTTTGCTTAATGGCCTTGGAAAAAGAGTTTACATCAACATAACGCAGTTTCTCAAACTATTTGTGACTCTTTTATTACTTGTTGTAATAAAAGAGTCACTAAAACAAAAGCATATTAGGCATATGACTAAAAAAAAATTTTTTTTCACTTGGAGTAACTGGAAGATGCCTTCCTATTCCATGACTAAGACGCACAGTCCCATGGGGTGATGGAACTTTGTTAGCTATAACAGAAGCAGTTACTCTTTCTGCTGCTTGTCTTTTGCTGCAACTTCAAGCAAAGTTCTGTCAAAGCATTCCTTTTGTACAACTATGTGGAATCCCTGTTCCAATAAGTGAAAAGCATGCTGAACAACTTGTACTATCATACCCCTGAAGTTATTTTTTTAGAAAAAGAGGTTTGAATTAAAAGTCATTTTGCGACACAGTAATAGCAAGTATTCAAGATGATCTTTTATTAATTGAGACCTAAATCATTGGGGTCTGGAAATAGATTGTCCCGTTGCCAAAACAGCCTTTCTCTTATGTTGTTTTGCTCCATTATTATTTAAATAATATTGTAATAAAAAATAGAAAGAAAATATAAATTACTTTATTATTTTTATTACAATTTATTTCAAAAAAATAAATTATTGCTATATTTCTATTAAATCGACTTTTAGTCAACTCTGTCGATTTCAAAAATGTATTCGTCCATTTTAGTCAACTTTAGAAAACATATAAGTCGATTTAGTTGACAGTCGAATTATTTAATAGTCGTAACACTTATATATATATATATATATATATATATATATATATATATATATATATATATATATATATATATATATATATATATATATATATATATACACCTTGTAAGTAGCTGTGAAGCTTGTAAACAAGCCTTTTCTTCATCTGATGATAATGGCGACGATGCTATAAATAATAAAAAAAAGATACTAATTTATCTTTCTTATATCTATTTATATTTAAAATAATATAAAATAAAATATTGAAAACAGTTATTACCAGAGTTAAATGGAGAAATTATCACAGCTTTCCACGTTTTAGTTAGCGATGGTATCTTTTTTTTTAAAAAAAGTAAATAATTATATATATAAAAAAAAAAAAAAAAAATTCATAAACTAATGTAATGAAAAATATTTTATCAAACTTAAGTTTTCTTTTTTTTCATTATTATTATTTTTTTAAATTTTACTTATCTTGTTGTTCCTTTTCTCAAACTTAACTATCTTCCTAAAACCCAGGTAAATAGTGTGTATTAACAAATTAGCTGCACTGAAAAATTTATTTAATTTGCAAACCTCTAAAACAATAAAGAGTTTGCAGACCTCTAAAATAATGAAGAGCTTACAGACATCTAAATCAATGAAGAGTTTGCAGACCTCTAAAATAATGAAGAGCTTACAGACCTCTAAATCAATGAAGAGTTTGCAGACCTTTAAAACAAAGAGTTTGCAGAAAGCTAAATCAATGAAAAATAATCCAATTAGCTTTAAAAATATTAGAAGTAACATTTTTTCTTAATCAAGGCAGTTTAAAAAAAAATCAGTTATGAAAATTTACTTAATTATGAAAAATTATAATAACCGTCAAACCCTTTATTTTAATATTACAAACTTTTATTTATAAATTCTTATTTAATATAAATAAATATTAACTATTGCATTTATTTCACTGTATTTTTATAAAGTATTTAATATAAATAAATATTAACTATTGCATTTATTTCACTGTATTTTTATAAAGTATTTAATATAAATAAATATTAACTATTGCATTTATTTCACTGTATTTTTACAAAGTATTTAATATAAATAAATATTAACTATTGCATTTATTTCACTGTACTTTTTAAAAGTATTTAAAAAAACAATTTATGAAAAGCAATAACAACAACAAAAAAATTAAACAGAAATTTATTCTTTAATAACCAAATTTTGAGTTATAACCTTTGATTTTCTTTTCATAGCTTTATCTCAATACTTATAAAAATAATTGGATTATAAATATTTCAAACACAATTGTTTTTTATTCAACTACCTTGACTTACTTAGTAAAAATATAGTTTAAAAGACAACTTCAAAGATATAGAACTTTTTTTAAACAATTTAAACAAAAGTTCTATATCTTTGAAATCTTTTTTTTATATATTTCTTTTTTAAAAACAATTTAAAAAATTTATTTTTTATACAATAAACAGACAATTACAATCACAAACTTTTGTTTATTTTTTATTACAGAAACTACTTCCCTGGATCCAGTTTGAGAATGTTTTAAGCAATTACCTAATTGTCACCTAAACCATTTAAGACCACTCTAAACTAAATCTAACTTTTTTTATATTAACTTGAATTAACATTTTTGTTTTAAATTTCACACTCTATCATATATTTAACAAATTTTGTCTTATGAAATAAAAAATTTAAGTAAACACTTGATATTTTAGAATAATAACTATAAAAACATTATTATCAAAGGAAAAATAATCAAAACATACTTCTCTTAGCTCGAGAACACCAGATAAAAGTACAAGAACGTGAGTTAAATATGATATCTTAAAAAAAAATAAATAAATAAATTACTGTAACTACATCATTATCTAAACATTTAATTAAATATATGATTATATGATATGATATATAATTAAATAAATTTAATTTATGTAGATTTTTTTAATTTTTAACTGTTTCTTAACATGTCTCTAAACAACTTACCATGTCAAATGAAAGAAGTTTAATAAGAAGACTGTTCCACAAACTTGGATCATAAATTTTATAGTCCAAACAGATATCTGAAATAAGTCTAATACCCTATTTAGATAATAAAATTTTATATAATTAGATAATATGATATTCCTTCATAATTATATTTTATATGATTTAATAATGAAGTTATAATAAAATGATATTTTTTAATGAAGTTATAATAAAATGATATTTTTTAATGAAGTTATAATAAAAATAAATCATAATGAAAATCTAAAATATCATAATATATTTCAATACTGCAAAAAAAAAAAATTACTAGGGGCTCACGACTGTGATTTCTCCAGAGACCCTTAACTAGTGTTTCTTTGTTAGATCTTATAAATGCTTCCTCTGATTGGCTGCTATGTAAGTTTTCAAGTTCAGATAAATATATGCATGAAACCAATTTTTCACTGTTAAAAAAAGAGCATATTTTTTAGTTAAACTAATTGTTGCTAGGTGACACTTATCAACATTTTATAAACTAAAAAAACTACATTGTAATTTAATAACTTAACTTTATTGTATTTTGTATATTTATTGCAAATAAGTTTTTGTGATGATATTAATTTAATAAATTAAAATTTGTAACCTTATATACCATTTATGAACAATTCATATTTAAATATATATATATATATATATATATATATATATATATATATATATATATATATATATATATATATATATATATATATATATATATATATATATATATATATATATATATATATATATATATATATATATATATATATATTTACTTATTGCTATAACTTTTGATTTTATTTATTGTTATAATATATTATTTATCATATTATTGTATTTCAAAAGTATTGTGTTTAAATAATTTACCCATTTTTATACTAAAATTGTGAGCTTTTAAAAAAACCTCAATTATACCTTCATTTTTTAGTTTATATTAGTCTAAATACCCTTTCCCATTCCCTTACTGTGGGCTTTTTTAATAATGCACCAAAATTAATTAGTCACACAGACCATTCAATTAAACAAAAAAATTTTTTTGAATGAAAAGGCTTTTGAAAAGACTCATTTATAAATAACCTACAAATAAAATTTAAAACCAGCAAAAAAAAGACCCATAAAAAGGCTTTTACTAAATATTCTTCAACATCTGAGAGTAAACAGCTAAGTATGCCAATATCGAGAGTAAACAAAATATTTTCAGGGAATCACAGCAAACACCAAAAATCAATAATTTGCAGACATCATATTAAATTCCCTTTAAAATTGTTTTAGTAACAATCAAAAAAATTATTCAGTCTATAATTAAGTTAATTGTCAGTAGCATTCTGCCACACCTAAACTCTTACACACCTTTGGTGGTTCTCTACACCACCAAATATTTGTACCACCAAACAACATGTTTATAACATTGAAGGAAGAGAAACAATTTGTTTGATGGCTCATTAAAGTATTCATACTAGCAATTAAAATGACTAATTAGTTTATTTTACTTGAACTGAGCAGTTTTATCAGTTTAATCAGTTTCTCAATTGTAAGGCACACATGTTACTTACAGTATAACACATTGACAAAATCAAAATGATTACTACCTCATTCATAATACATAAGTGTATATTGTCACAGTAAATGGGTTCGATACATATTCTATGTAATTACAAATTTTAACAAAAAGTTTTATTCAAATACAAGCAAAGTTTTTAGCTCCAGCGATGCACCTACAAGAACACAAAAAAATGCTGGATTTCAAAACACGGTTTTTTTTCACTTGATATTAAAAAAAATTGAAAAATCAAAATTACAAATTATTCAAACATATCAAGCACCATCTAAGCCATCTTAATGTTAATACATCACAGAATAACACAAAATCAAATTGTTTTAGAGTGCTTCTATATTGTGATACACAAAAAAAAACAAGTCAACATCTCAATACTTAAAGGCCAGTTTGTACTTAAAAATCTGAGGTCTTCACGAAACTATAAGAAAAAAATAAGGCCAAATAGTCGAGTCAATTCCCAAATAATAGGGAAAAGCCAACTATTATTTTCCTCATGAAAATTGGTTGTTTTTGCAGAAATACTTTTTCTCAATTTTTATATAAAGATATAAAAAGAAAAAAATTCTCTATAAAAAAGAAAAAAAAAAAAAAATAATAACAATTGAATTGAAAGCTAAAATCTCTTTCCCCAGTTAACTCTATTTACTTATATATATATATAAATATATATATATATATATATATATATATATATATATATATATATATATATATATATATATATATATATATATATATATATATATATATATATCAATATATATTTCTGAAATATTTGGTCTTACATTTCAAGGTTATTTACAAATAGTATAAACTACTAACATCACATAAACACCTAATGATAACGATTAAAATAGTAATAATAATAAAGATAATATTTATGATAATAGTAATAATACTACTACTACTACTAATAATAATAATAATAATAGTAATAATAATAAATAATAATAATAATAATAACATTTAATTTTAACAATAATAATAATATAGTAATTAAAATAATTTAAATAAATCAGTAAAATTTTCCCCACAACAATCGTTTTTACATACAAAGTTACAGTTACAAACAGTAATTAACTGACAAAATGTAACAACTAACGATGACATAAAAACAACCACTGCTAAAAAAAAGTATAAAGATTTAGTAAATATATTTTTCTTATAATATAATAACCGAAATATATTGCAAATAATATGACAAAGTAAATAAATAGAATGCAAAAAAGAAAAATACTGAGAAAATCAAAGCAAAACAAAAGTTACAACAAACATTACAAGCAAAAAAAAATTTACGTTAAGTTCATTTGGCAATAAAAACAAAAAATAACATCAACAACTACAAGAAAAGAACAACATAAATCAAAAATAATAAATAAGGAAAAAAAAAAGGTAATAATAATACACGGTAGAATAAAACATTTATAATAAATGCTTAAAACGAAAATAAAAACAAAAATTATAACACTATAAAAAATTAGATGTCACTATTTAAAAATAATTAAATAACTAAAAAATAAAACAATAAATAACTAACAAAAAATAATAAGTAAATTTTTATACGCTAAAAAACTAAAGAAAAATCATTACTACATGTTTATATATATATATATATATATATATATATATATATATATATATATATATATATATATATATATATATATATATATATATATATGTATATATATATAAACTTAAAGTTTAGTAAGTAAAGATATTCAACTTAAATTAGCTTTTAGTCAACTTCAACTTAAATTAGCTAGTTTAGTAAGTAAAGATATTCAACTTAAATTAGCTTGAAAAATTAGTAAACTTTTTAAAGAATTCAAATAGTTTCTTAACAAGACTGTTGAAAATCTATTTGTACTGACAAGACTCTGGCTGCTTTCCCAACAAAGAAAGCAGCCAGAGTATGAATGGTTGTTATAAACTTTATAAACTGCAAATACAATAAAACAGAAAACACTAATAAGGTAAAGAAATACACAAAAGAGATGTTCACAAAAACTTTAAATCAAATTTTAAATAAATATTTTGAGTAAAAATTTTAATTACAATAAAATGAATGAATTAATGTAAAGATAATTATTTATAGTGGAGGAGGAGACATAACTGCTTGTATATTTAAAATTTGCCAGCCAATGCAAGACTTAGTAACAAAATTATGATTACATTTAAAGTTGATAGTATTAATAAAAAAAACATTTTTTAACCCACCCGAGTAAACATTAAACCTTAAGCAAAGAAAATGAAACCTCAACCATGCAAATAAATTAATAGACCATGAAAACTACTATACACATGGATAAAACTTTTTTGTTAAAGTTACAAAAATACAACTTGGAACTATGAAGTCATGCTATAATATCATAGGTCATGCTGAAGTGCATGAAGCATAATCAACTAATTGACTCAGATAAATCAATTAAAAAACTTTAAAACTAATTGAGTAAAGCTTACTACTAAAATAATTATGAAAAAGTCTTACTAAATATTTTCAATATCCATTTGCACTTCCCTTTTTATGACAGATATATCAACCAACGTAAACAATACTTGCATAGCTCTGATTCTACACATATTTGTCAGCTCACTTTCCTTTAATAAAAAAAAATTATTTTCAACATAATTTAAAACATTTAAAAAACATTTTTTTTCAAAAAAGAAATAATCTCAACCTGGTTGTAAATAGCCATAACAAGCATTTTGATGTAGTTCAAATCAAATGAACTTGCCAGCACATAAATTACTCTACAATAAAAAAACAAATAAAAACTACAATAAAAAAACAAAAAAAAAACAAATAAAAACTTGAAATGTTGATATACATAATTAAATCATTTATACATAGAATATAACTTTACTAAAGATCATTTAAATGGCATTATAGTTTCTAAAAATGTATAAAAGATTTTGGGAAGTTGAAGTATGCGATAGTTTCTAAAAATGTTAGAAGCTAAATGCTAGGTTGTAATAAATGAAAAGAAAAAATTGTAAATGTAAAAAGTACCAAATTAAAATATTTAGAGCTTTAAGAGTTTTTTGATCTAAAGTTAACTAACTAAAGCTAACTATAGTGGAAAAAAAAAAAAAAAAATCAAAACCATTGAAATATAATTAACATACACTTTGGTTTGTATAAAAAATTTTAAGAAAAAATTAACAAGACCTTCTTAAATTTCTTTCATTTTCTTTACGAACAGCTTCAACGTTTGAAGTAGAATCCTATTTTTTCATAAAATAAAATAAAATTTAGAACATAATAATATAAACTAAATAATATTAACAGATGTAATTCAAAATAATACATACAACAATTATAATAGTTGTTACTAGCAAAAATATATTCTAATATATAATTTATAGTGTGTATTGTTGTTGTTTATCAGTACAGAACAACTATTCCTCTCAAAGGACTAATAACATGTAGAAAATTATTCCAGCTACCGCATTCCAAAATTTCTGGCTCCAGCTTCAACTTTCCCATACTTTCAGCTCTGACTCCTTTTACACAATTTAGTTTAATAATTTTATTCATGCTTTATTTCATACTTCATAATTGATAAGTTTTATTACAGGTTAATGTATAACTACAACTGTGACCTTTACCAATGTTTTAACCATGTAGCTACACAGTAAAAAAATATTTATAAAAGAATTTCAAGTATGTGTATGTATGTATGTATGTATGTATGTATGTATGTATGTATGTATGTATGTATGTATGTATGTATGTATGTATGTATGTATGTATGTATGTATGTATGTATGTATGTATGTATGTTTGTATGTATGTATGTATGTATGTATGTATGTATGTATGTATGTATGTATGTATGTATGTATGTATGTATGTATGTATGTATGTATGTATGTATGTATATATATATATATATATATATATATATATATATATATATATATATATATATATATATATATATATATATATATATATATATATATATATATTGTAAGCTAAATAGAAATAAATTTTGTAATTTTTTTGAGCTAATACACAGGCTTAGTTGTTGAAAAGGACACAATAGTAAAAAGTTGCAAAACCCATCTAAAAATTTTAAAGTAAATTTAAACAATAAACCTATAAATTTTTATCATAAACTGACAAACTAGCAATTGCTGAATTTTTACTGGCTTATGGTTATAAAAATTTATTTTGTAGATAAATAAATTTATTTAATAATTTACTTTGTTTTATTTTATGCTGCAATAATGTTTTAGATATAAATAAGTACAATTATTAAAATTCCTGGTAAGATGAACACTGCTTAACTCAAACTTTTGTTATCTGTTTTCTATAGTCTCTTGAAAGCGATAGCAATTGTTTTAATTTGCTTGAATCAAACATTTGTTAAGTCGAATCATTTTCCTTGGTCCTTTGGAGATTTGAGTTAACAGGAATTTACTGTAACTACATAAATAGCCCATAATTATATAATTAATTAATAACAAAAAAAGTATTTTTAATTAAATATATAATATATAATACATGTAGCAAAGGCTTATGTTTAATTTATTTCTAAATAATAAAATTGATCTTTCATAAGCTATATAGCCATTGGTTCTATACTAGTAAAGTTGCATTAACTCTAAAAATTTAAAATAATAAATAAGAATAATAAATATTGGTTGATATCATAACCTTTGCAATTAAACTACCAATTAAAAGTTGTAAACTGTAATTGTAATCTATTAAACTAATTGTAATTCTATTTAATTTCCTTTTGTGTGTGTAACCATGTATGATACTTTTAATTTATTTCTTAATAAGAATTAATATCTTAATAGAACCATGTAGTAGATTATGTTTATAAACCACTTTATGTAAAGCAATTTGTACTTAGAAACAAAATTGATTCAATAAGATTCTTTCATTAAAGTTCTCAAATTTGAACAATTCCTAGAACAGAGAATAACCTTTTGACACTCGCATGCGTTGGTGGCAATGACATTACTGATCGGACAGCATCTTGAACTGTTTTGGGATATTTTAGTATCTTTTACTTCAAGCTTACAAGAACAATCAAATTTTTCCAATTTTTTAAATTCTTTATAAAAATTTATTTTAAATTTTGTTAGCAGACTTAGTTCACTTAGTCAACATTTGACCTGGAAAAGGAAGATAAGCTGAAGATAAAAAAATCTACAAGTTTCAATGTCAGCAGCAATGATCATCTTCCTTGTGCAATTCAAGGTGCAATTCAATCTTACTGCAACATTACATAAACTACCTTTGGCCTTTATTAGTTGTTCACCTGTCAGCAAAACATTGTATTGAGGATCAATATATATGCCATCCAAAAAATGCTATTATCAAAATAATTACTTTCTCTTTGATCCATAAAATTTTAAATTTTTTCATAAATCAGACTTTAACAACTTTGTGTTAGCCAATGCAATAAGGACCATTCATTATAAAATTTTTCTGAAGTCAAAGGTTCACCTTTTTCTTCAGGTTTTTAGGTTTATTTACCTCAACCATTACGTTTCTCATAGTTGATAATAAACTTGAGGATTAGCCATGTCTATGAGAAAAGTGCATAGTGTGAATATTCACTATATCATCATGTAGGTACTTCCCCATAACTTAGTCCAAAATAGCTACCTTTCCAGAAGATTGTTGTTTCAATACAGCTTCTATTTTGGTGGTTCTTGTTGCTAGATCTGAACAATTCTTAGTGCAAAGAATCTCATCTTAACACTCACTTGCGTTGGTGGCAATTACTGATTATATGGCACCTCAAATTAAATGTAGATGATTTACAGTTCAACATTACAGTGTTTTTTTTTTCTTTACTAGTACAATCAATCACTTTGCACTTGCATAAAAATTTCTTGTTAGTTTCAGTATAATATTCTAACATAGACTTTGTAAATTTTGTTTTTAGATTCATTTTCAAAATAATATTATATAAATTATCTTAAAAGATAATTTACTAATTTTTCAAAAATTAAATTCATGAACTTGGAATACAAAAATTAAATTCATGAGTTTGGAATCATTAAAAAAGATCTAAGTACCATAATATAATCATTATTGCATATAATTGATTTTAAAAAAAATTAATTTTAAAAAAGTCTTTTATATTCGGTTTGAAGATCTAAAATTTTGCAATTTTTGCAATTGCAAATTTTGGAATTTTTTATTTATTTTTACCTGTAACAATAATAATAATTAAAAAAATTGTACTTCTTTGAAGCCGAATAAAGTATTAAAGCTCTGGCTTCAACTTCAGTTTTAACTTTGGCTCCGGATCTGACAATGATACCAAAAAATGGTTTCAGTTTTGGATTTACAGCCCTGATTACAAGAGAGTTCACTTTTGTTCTTGCAGGTTATTTTAACAAAATGTTCAAAAATCATTAATTATTATGTACAACACAATAAATGCTTTTATTGGATGAAAAAAGACAACTGGATTTAAATCAAGACCTGAACATTTTTAGTTTAACTATGATAAACTAAAAGTTTAACATAGTTATCATAAAAGTTTATCATAGTTAAACTAAATATATTTTTTATATTTTTTTAAATTATATTTATATTTTTTGCTGTTCTAACATCAAATGTAGAATAATAAAATAAATTTCTCATTAGAACATTTTTGTTAACATACTGTTTAGAAGTAAGTATTTACAGGAAAAAGAATAACTTTGATTAAAAATAGCAGTAACGCCACAACAAAACAACAGAAAGAGTTCACCAGACACATAATTTATCATAATTTAATAAATTAATTTTTTTTAAGAGATCACCAGACCTAAATAATTTATTAGGTGATGGAGAATGCAGATTTTAAAACTGTAAGCAAAATATTAAAATGAACAAAAATCAAAATAATGGACAATCAATAATCATAGCAATCAGATTAAGTAAGACATTAGATATGCTTTAGTCACCTTAAAGGCAACTAGACAATAACCAAACATTATACAGTAATATTTATAACAAAATATTATATTTATTATATAATATAATAATATTGCTTTATTATCAAGTTATCTAAACTTTAGTTAATTTTAACTCCGGTTGTAAAATATTAAAAACGAAATACAAAATATTATATAAATAGATAATAATGAAAAAAAAAACTTACCATCATATCATCTTCATCATTTTGACTTGATGGCAATCGTATACATGGAAGCCATTTCTAACATAACATAAAATAACAAAACAATTTATCAAGATTTTAATAATAAAATATTTAGAATCAACATAAAATTCAAAAATTAATGACGATGATAATGATAATGATAATAAAAGCAAGAAATAGTGACTTTTAAATTAACTTTTGCAGCTCAACGTCACCATTTATACAAGTATTTTCACAAAATAAAGTCTTACATTGACTATATGAAAAACTTTTACAAAATAAAAAACTTACATTGACCAAGTGCATATGTATCTTTTGCAGTTCAACATCACCACTTATATTGATGATAATTTTTGCTAAGCTGTATATCTCTGAAAAAATATTAAAAATTAAAGTTTTATTTAACAAAAATTATGTTTTTTTAAAAAAGTTACAAATTAGTTTCAACATCTCTTATTGTTAAAATTTCTAATATTGGATGGGATTACCATTCGAAAATACAAAATGGTAGACCATAATGCTTTGCACATTTAGCCGTGCAACTTAGATTCTAAACTGAAAACTCATATATTTTTGAAACATAACATTTTATATACAACAGTTACAAACCCAGCTTTATAAAACCTTTTTTAATAAAAACATAATAATGAAGTATAAAAAAAGATGTGTGACTATTACTTATTATTGATGGGCACATTGTGATTTCTGACAATATCCTGCTTTTCTATATGATACAAATGACTATGTATGAGCTTTCAATAAAAACTTGGTTATATTTTTCTATATTGTTTCTCCTAAAATATGAAAATCAGCTAAATGCATACTAAATTTTTTTACAGAAAACACAATTTAATATTGTATATTTTTTGTTCATCGCAAAATAACATTTTGCAATAAACAGCTCAAATCACAATGTTTGCAGAATAATTTGGTCTGTCAAAAACCAATTTAGTCATGAAAAATGTTCTTATATTGGTCATATCTGATACTATACTTTAAAGCCACGGTGAAGGATGTTTTTCTGCTTTCTTATTTACAACACATCTAGAACATCTAAATCTCATATAAAACCCTCAACTTGAGTTGAAGTAGCTCATAAACCTTGGATAGTAATAGAAAATATAACTAGAAATACCACAATATATTCTTGAATCGCAAAACAATAAAAAAGCAATAAGTTGCTTTAACTCTTCTAAGTTAGAAAACATCAAACAAAAAAAATTATTCAAATAAGGAAAACATCTGACAAAATATTCTGTTAAAAAACTCAAATTTATAAAAAAAAAAAAAAATCTTTAGAAACTTCAGTTGATTGTTTGGAAGCACTAATATGTTAAAAATTAAAACAATTTTCATTTCATTTTCATTTTTTATTTTCATTGTATTTATGAAATGCTTTTAATAATAAAGCATTTTTTAATTCAATTTCTCATTATAAAAACTTTATTTAAAAAAATAATTGGTAACTTTTTATATGTTATTTAAAATATCAAGATGTCAATGTCAATGCCTTGAAAATACTACAAATACAAAAATAATGTCAATGCCTTGAAAATACTACAAATACAAAATCAATGTCAATGCCTTGAAAATACCAGAAATACATTTTATTTGTGGTATTTTAAATTTATAAAATTATATTTATAAATAAAGTAATATTTTTATTTTTTCAAACATTTTGTGCTTATAGTTTTATTTTGGTTGTTCATTGATTGTTTTTTGAACAATTAAAATAATGCCATTGAGATACCTAGAATTTAGAAAGAACAATAAAAATATTAACTGTTACTTTTGTACTATTGTTGTTACAAAACACAGAAAAACAAAGAGAAGATATGCATTCCAGTAACTGGACATGTTAGTCTCAATACACCCAGTACCACACAAAGATAGCCAAACTTTTTCAACCAATTGTAATTACCCAATGCGATTTGCTATATTAATAGCTATATTATTTACAACTTTTAACTTATATATTGAATTCATTAAGGAATTGGAAATCAATATAAATAAATGCATGTCAATTTTATTAACTATATTTTGCAGACAGAAGACATTAGAGAATCCTCCTATTTTCTTTCAGAAATAGGAGGATTCTTTAATGTTTTTTGCAGAATAATTTCAGAAAATAAAAAATAAAAATACTCATTTTTTTTTTCTTATTTTTTTTCTAGAACACAAACCTTTAAACCACAAACAAACATTAAACGAGGAATCTGCATAGAGAAACAGGTTGATTGTGGTACTTCCAGAGACGTGGGGTTGTTCACAGCAAATAGCAAATGTTTAAAGACAGTTTGACAAGCAGTTTGAAAGCAGTGTTACTTTACAATGACAATTAATCCATCAATGTCTCTTGCTCATTCTGTGCAGAAAGTTTAAAAGAAAACTAAAATATCAGGGATCTTTTTAGTAAATATCAGGGATCTTTTTAGTAAAATAAATTAGGAGTTCTGATGGTATGTTTAGATTGACTTCAAAATGTTGAAAGTGTGATAACTCAAATTAATAAAAATGCTTTTTGTGCTCTTCTTAAATAATTTTTAGGTAACCATAATGTTAGCCAGTAATTACAAAGACCAGTTCAATGAACTCATCCACAATTACAAAGAAATTATTTATTGCATGCATCAATAAGGTTGCATTACTCACACTCATACATGGACTCTTTTCTTTAGACAATTTAGGTAATATCAGCAAGAAATATGATGAAAGGTTTCACTAAAGGATTGTAATAATGCAAGAAGATATCAGGATGGATAGTACGCAATTATGATGGGAGACTATGTATGGTCTTTAGTAAAAAAAGATATAAGTGTCCATACACCCTCAATCATCTAAGCTTTTAAATATAAATGGGAAGCTAATGTTACATCATGTTTTTCATTACTAATAACTATACCTGGAGCACCAACAAGCTTTCCAGTTTCAAATTTAGCTTTATCACCATACTCTTCATAAAGCATCATAACTAACTTTGCTGCATCAGAAGAAACCATAAAGAACTTCTCATCTGTAATACCATGTTCAATCAAAGCTCCTTCTATAGATACCCTTTTATACATTCCAATAAATTTTTGCTGAGCTTTTTTGGCTTCTAACTGCATCTATATATAAATATATATATATATATATATATATATATATATATATATATATATATATATATATATATATATATATATATATGTATACATATATATATTATATATATATATATATATATATATATATATATATATATATATATATATATATGTATATATATATATGTATACATATATATATATATATATATATATATATATATATATATATATATATATATATATATATATATATATATATATATATATATATATATATATACAGTGGTTTTCATAAATTTAGACGCACTCATATTTGAGAATAGAAAATTTTAGGTATTTTAACGATAAAACAATGACGAAAAAAGATTTCGGTTTAGTTTGAATGAAATACTAAGTAATAATTAGGTACAACTACATGGTATTAAAAAAACTAGACAAAAAAAATTATTCATAAATTTAGACGCACGATACATTAGAAGGCGTAATTTATGAACCAATCAATATTTTGTGTATCCGCCTTTTGCTTTAATACAACTAAGAACTCTTCTAGGCATAGACTCAACAAGATTTTTGCACATCGCTTCAGGGACCCCATACCAGGTCTCCTTAAGGAATTCCTTCAGCTGACCAAGTGTGGAAATTTGAACCTTTGCTAATTCACGATCAATCCAAGCCCAAATGTTTTCAATCGGGTTCAAATCAGGTGAATATGGAGGCCACGGTATTGTCATAATATTATTATCGTTGAACCACTCCTTTGTATAGTATGTAGTATGTGCAGTAGCGCTATCTTGTTGAAGTTTCCATGGTTTATCATTGAGCATAAGCAGGTCAATTGATGGAATTAGGTTGTTTTCCAGTACTTCTACGTATATTCTGGAGTTGATTCTTCCGGTGTATGTTTGGCACATACCAACACCTTTGTAATTGAAGCATGACCAGATTCCTATCGAGCCTCCTCCACTTTGTACAGTTGGTCTAATGTACCTGGCGTAATACTTTTCGTGAGCCATTTTTTTGACTGTTATGTTAGATTTGCGATTGATAAGCTCAAAGTTACTTTCATCACTCCACATAATGTTTTCCCATTGATCTATTGTCCAATACCTTCTTTCACGACACCATTTTAGTCTCCTTTGTTTATCATATGGACGCAGAAGCAGTTTCTTCAAAGCAGTGTAGACTCCAATCTTGTGTGTAAGGCAGTGTAGTAGTAGAAGGCAGTAGAAGTAGTAGAAGGCAGTAGAAGAAGGCAGTAGAAGTAAAGCAGTGTAGACTCCAATCTTGTGAAAGATGTATTTCGCGTTGTATTGAATTCTGTGGTCAATTCTTTGTAACTAATTCTTGGATTAGCTCTGACAGCTCTGAAAAGAACACTATCGTCCTTTCTCGTGGTTGACAAGGGTCTACCTGGCCTCGTTTTCACGCTGGCACCACCAGTGTGAAGAAAGTTTTGTTTCGTTGTCCGAACGCATTTCTCAGAAACTCCAATTAACTTGGTGCTTTCTCTATTACTTTTGGTTCCTTCTTTGATGTGCGCAATAATTTGCCATCTTTCACCTTGAGTGATACCCCTTTTGCCCATTTTTTACGTTTTTTTAGTGCAAAACTAACTTAACTTTTGTTTATTTATTAAATAATGATTAAATAATTCCAGGTAAGTCATATTTATATAAGGTTTTTTGACAAAATCAATTAATTTAGGCCTATTAATGAGAAATATAAGAAAAAAACTACTAATTAACTATCAATTAACAAGATATAAGACTTTTTTAATCGTGCGTCTAAATTTATGAACAAAATAAAATCAAGTTTATCAATTAACTTTTTTGTGTTAATCGGTATAAAATGAGTAATAAACATCCTGTAAAAAAAATTAAGGTACTCTATAATAGAGTATATATATATATATATATATATATATATATATATATATATATATATATATATATATATATATATATATATATATATATATATATATATATATATATATATATATATATATATATATATATATACATATTAGGGTTGTTCACTATGCAAATTTTTTTCAAAACACCGGGATTGAAGTTTTTACCCTTCTACTATTAGGTACTACGTATTTTTTACAAAATTTTAATAACTTTTCTGGAGCCCCCTCCATACCCAAAAAGCCAAGCCCCATTTTTTGTTTTAAAACTATGGTGATTTTCAGTTAAGCAACAAAAAAATGGCAAAGAGTCACATGTGTTGTTTACTGTCATTATTTTGAAATAAAAAGTCAATACACAGTTTGCAAATCATATACTTATCAGTCAGGCTCAGTGTTGTTCTGTGCTATTAACTAAATAATTTAACAAATCTTGAAAAAATGGAAATTAAGTGTTTTCTCAATGAGTTTTTTCATTGTCCTAATGTTTTTTGTCAAAATCAGGATATTGATGTCAGTGATTTTCTACACCCTGTAGCAGCCATGCTCTTTGTTGTGGATCACTGGTAACTATGGCCGCAAATTCTGAAATCAGTTTCACTCCTCTCTCTGCAGTATCGTTAACGATCTTCACCGTACAAAGAAATTTCTCAGTTTCTTGGGAACCTGGATTCTCTGTCCACTGGTGAATTGGTTCAGCAAGCAAGTCTGTGTTGATACCAAGAATATTGAACAATGTGTGAGATTCAGGTCCCAGAAGATTTGCCAAACCTGTTTGATGAGATATTTACCAAAAATGTGTTTTCCAAAACAAAAACTCTCCGGTGCGGGAATTTCCAAGAGTTTTGCAGCCATTTCCAGTTTCACAGAGGATGAAACATGTTTACTGTAAAAGCAAATAGAACTACCTTTTCTGTCAAATACCATTGATGATTGTTCATTTTTGAAAGAACAAAATCAGCAATTTCCTTGTCTATTTCTTTGAAACTCATGCCATGAATGAGCTGCAGACTATTGAAAGGCGCATCAGCACCAATACTAGCTTTTGTCCAAACTGGTGTGCGGAAAAGTGAAAGAAATCGATTCATTCTAAAAAGTTTGATCTTTATTTCTTCACTATATGGTGTTTGTCTTGAAAACATGTAAATTTTGCCAGCATAAATGTTACTAGCCATCCACCGCGCTTGATGGATGACTCCTGGTTTCAGAAAATGTACATCAAATGGCGGAGTTTACTTAAATATAATAAGTGTGTTTTTGGCACATTCACAATAGTCATCTCTTGGAAATGTTGCAGCATTTTTGTTTGCAAGTAAATGTGTCAAATGTTTTATGGTCTGTTCTTTGATGGTTTTCAACCAGGTGCCTTCAACTTCTAAAACTTCAATTGGCAACTCTTTATCCAATATTGGCCAAGATGCTTTGAAATTAGCGAAAAACTTTTTTTCTGGCCCAAAAATACTTCCAAACAATTTCTTCCAAACTGCTCTGACAAAAATTTCCAAGATATGGTCAACAAGAAAGGTAAAGAAGTTTTCTACCTAAGCTTTCTTTGATCAGTTTAGCAACACCATTGTGGATGCCACAATGTTGTTGTTAATGATGTCGCTGAAATCCCAAGCTTCTAGAAAATCAAATGTTGCTTTTTTTCAAATTTTCCTTTTTTCAGAAAGAGCAGGAACTCCCAGCAATTTTCCCTCACTATATTGGGGATATAAAGCTCCAAATTTATATAGCTCCAGACACGAGCACGGCTAACTGTTCATGTTGCTCACCTACTATGTCTTTCAAAAGTTTTCCATCCCAGTGAAGGGCACCAAAATGAGGAGGGTTAAGTCTGACGCTATCTATAACATTCACAGCAATTTTCTCTCAATTTAACATTCTAATTTGACGAGATGTTGATCTGGAGATATCAAAATCGTCCAAGTTTCCACCAGCTATCTTAATCAACCCAGAAACAATCATAGTCTGTCATTGTCTGATTATCGGACAGCCTCAGCCTATTGGCTGCTGATGTAATTTCTTTACATTGCATAATTCATGGATGAGTATTTGACTTTATAAAAATCCCGGAAATTTTTTTTTATGAAAATATTTTATTAAGAATTGATCAGAATTTTCCGGATGTTTTTTGTTATTAAGAATAACAAAAAACATCCGGAAAATTCTGGAAAATTAAAGTAGTTTTGAGAGAATTTCAGGAAATCCGGAAATTCCCGGAAAAAAATCATCTATGATAATTCTTTTGGGTACGTGAAAAATTACAAATTCTGATTGCTTATGCATCTACTTCCGCAAAGCAATTACAATATCCTGATCACTATTTTGCTCTTCATCGTTGACTTCCATGTCTTCATTATCCTGATCATCCAGTCTGCCTTCATGCTCTACTCTTTCTTTTTCTTTATCACTTAGTATCAATATCCGATTGTATCTTACTGCTTGCAATTGTGACTTGATCTCAAAAATTTTATCATGGCCATCCATGGTTGCCTTTCTGTTTCTTTTTTGATATAAATAGAAAGCAATATCATCATCTTTAATTTGTGATGACAGAAGTCTGGATTTTGTGATTTCCTCAATGGCATCAGGTGACCCAATATTGAAAAGGCAATCCAACTTGGCCAAATAGTTGCCATGTTTCCCATCCGGATCACCTTCGTGATTCTTGTTCTTAGACAAGCTGTGCCACTCATTCCAAAGTGCCATAACATCCAACAGACAATTTTGTCTTGTTTTTGTTTTGATGCAAACCATGTTCCAAAAAGTGACCACATTGTCAATAACTGTATTACAAAATTTCTTGATTTGTTATATGGTTTTAAATATTTTTTTCATCATGCCATAGAAAAAGAAAAACATTTAAAACTTGTTGGCAATAAGGCAGCTTGGAACCAGTAATTGATGGTGATGGGTGTCCAATTAGCCAAAAGTTTGTAGATGCACAAGTAGTAGGTGTTCCTGAAGATGATGGAAGCGAAGTCAAGTTGGAAGTATCTGAAGACTGACTTGAACTGATTGGCAAAGATACCGACTTGCTAAAACTTGACGCTTCTTGTCAGCATTATTATTTTAAACTAGCTGATCTGACCCGTAAAAATAC